CACGCCGCGCTCAGAGCCGTCTCCCCGCGGCCGTTCCTCGCGTCCACGCGCGCGCCGTGGTCCAGGTAGAGGCGCGCGTGCCGGTCCAGGCCGTGCTGCGCCGCCACGTGCAGCGGCGAGTCCCGGGCGGCGCCACCCTCTCGATGCACCGACGCGCCGTGCTGCAGCAGCGCCTGCGCGCACCTGCGGGGCAGAGCGGGGACCGACTGGTCACCTGGGCGAGTGCGGGACGCGCCACCCACGAGCGGACAGCCCCGACCCGCCACCCACGGCCGGCGTGCACCCCGCGAGTCAGCCCGCCGCAGCGTCTTTGACTGCTCGTCGCCGTCCTGGCCTCCCTGTCCGGGGCAGGGCTGCGATCGCTGCCTTGTTCGGTTCCCGGTCACCAGGTCTTCTCCACCTGGCCGAAGCAGGACTCTACTCTGGAGACTGGTCCTGGTCTCAGCTGACCCCAGGGCGTCCAGCTTATCCCCGGACTCCTGCTCTGCTGTCCAGCAAGTGTGCTGTCCTGGAGGCCCGCCTCCAGACCCTCTTTCCATCCTCCTAGGATCTACCCCAGCTCCGCTGGGCTGGCCGTGTGGTTTCAGGAACCTCCTCCATAGCCTGCCTCCCACAGAGGCCCCTGTTGCCTATACCTGCTAGAATTTGTTTCTACATTCGTTCGCTACGTCTTCCCCGTGTCCACCCCTTACAGAGTCCGCTGGGCATCCCCGAGGGCCTGACTCTGCCCGCTATCCCCTTTGCCCTTTCCCTGGCCTCCTCCCTCTTGGCCCACTACGCTGGTCTCTCTGCCAGCTGGTGATACTTCTTTAATAATTACTTAAGCAGTTTGCTCTTAACTACTGTCACCACCTTTTGAGAGGCCAAATCTTCACAAGTCTCCTAATTTGTCCACTAATTTGTTTCAGCCTGGCATGCTCCAGGACCTTCCCAAGTCGGGTCAATCAGTGGACTCACACCTTCTTAGGCCCCTGCCCTTTCCCTGGGATGGAGCTGCCAGGGCTAGCTCCCCTGGGCCTCACCAGCTTCCCCTGCCAAAGCTCTTTTTTCTGGGTTTCTAATCTATCCGACCACCCTGTGGCTACAAGCCCTCCGGCCTCTGTGTGCACTTTCTTTGTGGGTCTCCCACAATGGCTTCCAACTTGCTTTCTCTTCCCTTCCTCTGGGAAGCTTTCCTAGTACCTCCAGACTGAGCCCGTCATATCTGTTGTACTTTGCCTTGTGGGTATGTACCTGGGCAGGAGACTTATCACACCACGTTTCCCACACATGTCTCTTGTGTCACACTTCTAGGTCCAGTGTGTAGAAAGTACATCTATCTGATCGTTGAGTGTAGCGAGGTGCCTAGCTCATTCCTGGATTCCTTAAGAGCATGTTCAACAAATGCATCTTGCTAACGACCATCTTTGTTCTCGCTGCTGTTTTCCCTGTTATTTACTTGACTGGGGCTCTGAACCAGATCATCTTTCCAGGGTTTGGGGATTGACAGTTGCTGTCCTGAAATGCATTTTCTATTTCTTCCTAGGGACTCTCGTACTTTTAATTCTCCTTTTGTTTCTCTCGCCTCCACATCAGCAGTGTGGTGAGAAGTGGTCTGTCTTGGGTGAAAGATCTTTACAAACAAGTACAATGTGATGTGAAGCATCCTTTGGGAAGATACCCAGCTATGAGAGGATGCAAATTTTACAATCAGAGCGCTTCACTTTGCTTCCTGCCTGGCTCTCTGGGAGGAATTTTGAACGATGCAGCAGGAGGTTAGAAATCAAGGGCTCCGTTTCATTTTCTCACAGAGCCTTGAAAACAATTGCAAACATTTCCTTCTAATTTTTAGTTTTTATTTTTAAAGCAACTCAACCTTTAAAGAAAGACATTCACTAGGAAGAGTCCTCAGCCCGGCTAGCTAATGGCAGGCTGCTGTCTGCTACCCAGAGACTGGATGGGGACATGGGCCCACCCACCCGAGGTTGCGGAGGTCCCTATTGTTCTTAATGAAGAGCTCTAACTGGCGAAACCTTTGAGCTTTCTTATGCTGGGCCATGGCTATAGACTCACAGGCTGGATGGAGAAACCCTAGGTCAAATAGGTGGGGGCGTGGCTCTATTGGCACAAATCAGGTGGTCATTAAGAATGAAGGTGGGACAGGGCTGGAGAGATGGCTCAGCAGGTAAGAACACTGGTTGTTCTTACAGAAGACCCGGGTTCGAATCCCAGCACCCACATGGCTGCTAACAACTGTCCGTAACTCCAGTCCCAGGGGCTCTGACAGCCTCGTCTGACCTCCAAGGGCACTGCACAACACGGATGCACTGACCTACATGCAGGCAATACATGCATACACATAAAATAAAAATAATAAATAAAAATAAAAAAAAGAATGAAGGTGGGGGAGCCTGGGTAATGGCACACACATGGCACACACAGAGCTGTCCCATAGATGTGTGGATACATAGATGTGTAAGATACATTATGCAGTCCCGTCTTTTAAAAAGACGTGACAGCTGTTGAATAAATAAACTCCCAGTGACTGTGACAAACAGGCATGAGATCCGCACAAGATCAAGCCGGCTGGAAACTCTGGCACGGATGGGGGAGGGGCTCATGAAGTCCTGTTCCTAGCCGAGGGGCTGTTAGCAATGGATGACTTCTGGGAGAAGGAGAGTTAATTTTGTTCAGGGATGTGGTCCCAGAGAGGCTACCCGCACCCCAGTAGATGGTTTTACACCCATGTACATACAGGTGATGGGTTTAAAAACAGAGCATATGCCCGGTGTAGTGGTGTACGTCTTGAATCCCAGCACTGGAAAGGCAGAGGCAGGTGGATCTCTGTGAGATCGAGGCCAACTTGGTCCACATCGTGAGTTCCAGACTAGCTGTGGCTATAGGGAGACCCTATCTTCAAAAAAAAAAAAAAAAAATCAATCTCCTCCGACCCCTCAAAGAAAACTCACACCCAAAATAAAACAGAGCACGCGAAGTCGGGAGGGGAAAGTGGTGGGTGGGGGATAGAGGAAGGTTTAGAAGGGAGGGAATGGGGGTAGTTTTGATCAAAACACATTGTATGCATTTTGAAATTATATGTGTATAAAATTCTCAATTTTTTTAACTGCCATCAAAACTATGTGTGAGGAAAGCCTGGAAATGTGTAGGATGAAGCAGGGTCACCTCTGGATGCTGGGGTGGTGGAGCTTTGACTTTCTTTTCACTGGCTTTGTGTCTTCAAGTTTCCTAAACAAATTGGAGTAGCAACCTGATAAAAGAACAGTTAAGGTTAATCACAAAAGCATTGCCCATGAGCCCCAGCAACAGCTCACGGCTGCTGAGAACATTAGCTCTGCTTTCCAAGTTTCCAGAACACTCTCAAGGTTTCCATTGATGACTCAGACAGAAATGGGTCTTAGAGCACAGGCACGGCAGTGCCCGTGGGCTGGTGGTGAGGGAAGAGGGCTGTGTGGAGAGGCAAAGCAAGGAGAGACAGTCTTGGATAGTTCTTGAATCTGACTGCAGTATACACCCAGCCCTTCCTTAAACAACTTATCATTTCTGTGCCCTGTCTGTGTCCAGTGGAGAAAGCATTACCCAAGCCTCCATAGGCACATGGGGAGCCCAGCTGGGGCTGAGCCCTTAGCTCTAAGCTGGGACTTTGGGAGGGGTTTCCTGATACTCTGATAGAGAAAAGTCAGAAGGGCTCTGGGGCAGTGTGGACGGTCACTGCTGGGAGCCAAGGGTAGCACCGCCATCTGAGGGAGTTAGAAGGACTTTGATTACATCTACAGGGATTAAGGAGAGACACTGCATAGTCTCAACAGCCTCTGGTACAAAGAATGTGGACGGACACTCATCCCTTCCCCATCCTCTGTTCTGCCTTTGATAATGACCACAGTGATAATGACAATTGCCAGGCCTCCTGCTTGAGAGTGTGAAGAAAAAGTCACTTGGCTACAGCCAGACTGAATAGCAAAGACCATCAAGGACTGCTCCATCAATGCCATTTTAATTTGTTCCAAAGACAGAAGCAGAGGGAGAGGCTGCTCCTTGCTCACTGCTTCCCTCCCCGAATCAGCATCAGCACCCCCAAGCCATGAGGTCTCACAGCATGTCAGCTTGGCCTTTCTGCCACCCACCTCTCCTTCACCCACCTGCTTAGGCCGTGCCCTGCCTGCCCAGGCCCCGAGTCTCCTTCACATTCCATGCAGGCTGCTCTAGGCTCTCCTCACCCCGCCTTCTCTGCCTCCCAGTCACAGTGCTTACACAAACTCCCAACATGGTACTCTCCTGCTCTCGGGTTCTGAGCTGGAAGGCCTTCTGGAGGAGTCCCTAGCTCCTGGTCTTCTTCTTGTTTTCTTTTAAAAAGATTTTATAAGCCAGTTGTAGTGGCACAGGGCTTTGATCCCAGCACTCAAGGAGGCAGGGACAGGTGGATCTCTGTGAGATCCAAGCTAGCCTGGTCTACATAGCAAGTTAAAGGTCAGCTGGGGCTGCAGGGAGCTTCTGTCTCAACAAAAACAAACAACAAACAAACACAAAAATCCCAAAGCTTTTCATTTATCATTGTGTGTGTATGGTGTGTGTGTGTGTGTGTGTGTGTGTGTGTGTGTGTGTGTGTGTGTGTGCGTGTGCATGAGTGTGTGTGCATGTGTGCCAGGACATGTGCCTGTGGAGGTCAGAGGACTACTCTGTAAAGTCAGTTCTTTCCTTCCACCTTTACCTGGGTCCCCGGGATGGAATTCAGACTTGTGTGGCAAGCACCTTCACCCACTGAGCCATCTTGCTGGCCCATGTACTTAATCTTCTAAATTTTTTTTTTAACATTAAAAAAAAATTTATTTATTATTTTTATTTTATGTGTATGCATGTATTGCCTGCACCTGTGTCATGCAATGCCTGTAGAGGTCAGAAGAGGCTGTTGGATCCCCTGGGTCTGCAGTTACAGACAGTTGTTAGCTACCATGTAGGTGCTGGGATTTGAACCCAGGTCTTCTGCAAGAGCAACCAGTGTTCTTAACCACTGGGCCATCTCTCCAGCCCCTTAATCTTCTAAATTTTTATTTAATCAATGTTATATTTATCCATCAGCACAATTTTGTGTTGGAGGTGGATTTACAGTTAGGGAAATTGAGGCTTAGAAAAAAGCAGGTGACTTGCAGAAAGCCACCTAATAATTTAAATTTGTGTGTGTGTGTGTG